AAATGTCAGCTTCTAACTATATATATATATATATATATATATATATATATATATATATATATATATATATATATATATATATATATATATATATACTGATCAAAAAAATAAAGGGAACACTCAAATAACACATCCCAGATCGGAATGAATGAAATATTCTCATTGAATGCTTTGTTCTGTACAAAGTTGAATGTGCTGACAACAAAATCACACAAAAATCATCAATGGAAATCTAATTTATTAACCAATTAACTTCTCACCCGCGGAGGGTGAGAAGTTAATTTTATTGAAAGGATGCTCTATAAATATAAACAGTATTCAATTTAAGCTAAAACTTATCTTATAAAATTAGAAGACGGTGAGTATTTGACTAAACTGTTTAACCTATAAATACTTTCGGACTGTGTAGTTTAAAGGGAGATTCTGCTGCTTTTCTTATGTGCTGTCTGAACAGAGAGAGGTTCTGGTTCTGCATGAGACGGGTTGAGCTTAAAGACTAATCTAGAGTTTGGCCACATGGGGGCGGTGTCGCGCTGTCTGGCGATGAAACAGCAGAAGAAGAAGGGCGGTTCCGTTCCTCGTGGGAGAAGAGGAGCAGCATGGCGCCTCCAGGAGGGAAAATAAACAGACCCAAGACGGTAAGAAGCCGGAGCAAACGGTTCTGACGGGTTCTGGTTCAGGATCTGGGTCAGCCGAACTGAAAGCTGCCAGTCAGAGGTCCAGAAGGTTCCGGTTCCGATCCACTTGCTGAACCAACGGAAGCTGACAGAACATTAAAGCCACCGGCCAGATGTTTCTGGAAAGTCCGTCAGAATCCTTCAAGATCCATTTGGTCAGAACCGGATGTGAGGTTTATTTATCAGCTAAAGGTTCAGTTATTGATTAAAGGAATATCTGCCCTCCTGTAAACCCCCTGTCCACTTGGTTGTGATGACGTCACAAGGGGCAGATGATCTGTTCCGTCAGTTTTCTTCATTTTCTTCACACGTTTACGGTTATTTTTAAAAAGGTTAACTCTTTTCCTCCAATATGAAAATATGGAACAGATTTTAGATCAGTTACTATGACAACATAATCCTGGTCAGTACTCCTGTTCTGACACAGATGTTCTACAACAGCGCCTCCTCCTGGATGGTCATCTCTGCTCTATACTCCCCCTGAAGCCTCCTAACCTTTGACCTGTCCTGGTTTCCTTCAGGAGCTCGGGAAGAAGCTCTTCAAGCGGCGCCGGGTTCTGGGCCGGCAGAAGAAGAAGCAGAACCAGATCATCGGAGCCGTAGTAGACCAAGACCTCATCACCGTCCATCACCTGAAGAAGAGACGGTCAGTGCTGCAGATGGACAGAACTCACCTGTCCATCTCTCACCTGTCCATCTCTCACCTGTTCATCTCTCACCTGTCCTTCGTGTCCTGCGTGTCCCTCAGGTCCAGCCCCAGAGCCAACATCACGCTCTCTGGGAAGAAGAGGCGGAAGCTCCTGAAGCAGCTGCAGCACCTGCAGACGGAGAAGTCGTCCATGGAAGGTAGAACCTGTGACTCACCTGAAGGTCCAAACGACGCGCCGCCTCATTGATCCACTACAGAACTATTTAATATTGTTTATTTTTCTGTCAGGCAAATGCTTGAGACACACGCAGACGTCTTCCTTACGAACTGTGAACTGAGCCAGTTGAGGCTACCGCTAACTAGTTGCTAATGCTAGCTAGTTAGCTAATAAAGGTGCAGAAAAATAGTTTATATAGACAATAGCATTTACTAGTCCTAGGAGTTCTGAATTAATTCAAAAGCCTCAAAAATATGTTAGATTTTTTTAGTAAAATTATGTTTTTGAATAATACTTAGATTTTTTTTTATCATTTAATAAAAACAGATGGCTAAGCTAACCTAATAGTGATAGTTTGTTACATAATTTTATGCACAGACCTATTTTGGTTTAAATAAGAACTGATGGAATTTGGAACCTTGTAGATTTTTCTTTATAAATGTTTTATTAATTTTTCTCTCGTCAGTCACAAAAAATTTTTAACTTTTGAACAGAAAAATTTGTTTCTGAATTCAAAGTAATTTCTGAATGAATTTCTAGGTGCTGGAGATTAGCATCGCTACCAGCTAGCTTACTTGCGTTCTTGTGGTTTTAGTGCATATTCACCTCCAGTTAGCTGGACAATGAAGCTAGCTACTAGCTACGTCACATTGAGGTGCCATCATTTCCTCAATAGCTTTCAGTGCGTTTAAATATCATATACGTATAAATGTGAGATTTTCTTTTGTACATTTCTATGGTGATAAAAGTCTTAAATTTAATTCTTAACTATTTTAAAAAGATCTTAGATTTGAGTTGATGAAACCTGCTTCTGGTTCTGACCCGACTGGCTGCCAGCAGGAGAACTCAAGTCTGACTGTCCATCTAACTTCAGTCTGAAATATTTCGTCCTCAGTGGAACCAGAACCACAGAAGAAGATCTCCTCTTCATCATCATCAGCTGCTCCAAAGAAGAGGAAGAAGACGGGGCTTGGTTGCCATGGAGACGTGGAGATGGAGGATGTGGAGTGAGCCGAGGTCCGATTCGTCAGGAAGGTTCTGCATGAACTCAGAACCACCTGGTGTGGATCAGAACCAACGATCAGAACCTTCTCTGAGCTTCATTCTGGTCCGGTTTATTGGAACCGAAGCTGCAGATTCATTTCTGTTTCTGAGGGCAGAACCTGTTCAGAACCCGGTCAGGACCCAATGGACATTTTTACTGATTCTCTGTTGTAATAAAAAGGTCCAGATGTTCCATCTCTGGTCTCAGTTTGTGATTGGACAGGAGAACCGGCCGTAAATCTGGTCATTTGGACCTGAAACCCCTGCAGGGGTTAAAGGTCAAAAGTCTGAGCTGTTTGGGTTTCAGGTTCTGGCGGAACAGAGTCAGAATCCGGTCTTCATTTATACCGAAGACCGGTATAAATGAATCAGATGTCTCAGTCCATCATGTCTGAAGACGAAAAAAAGTCATAAATGTTTTTCCGTACGATGTCTGACCATCATGAAGAGATAAACATTTTCATAAATAAGAAGTGAATAAAGTTTGATTTACTATTTTTGGGTTATTTAGCCTAAGAGAAAAAATGTGGATTCGTATTTTCACCATGTTGTTTATTTCTAAATGTTTTAATTTTAAACAGTTTATTTATTTAGCAGTTAGCCACCAATTCTGTTTGGCAAGTGAATAGAAATCCACTTGCTGATAACAGGAAGTGGACTATGAAAATAAAAGCTGGGTTTTCCAAACTTCTTTAAAAACTCATGTTTCATTTCTTTTCCTCTTGAACATTTCAGCTTAAAACAGTGTGACCGTTTAAAGACAGTGACTTCATTAGCATCGAAGGATTCTGAATCAACTCCAGCTTTTATTTTGGTAATCCACTTCTGCTCATCAGCATGTTCCATTAATATTTATTTTGGAGCTAAGGCTTGTTAACTAAATATTTAGACTGTAAATATTTAGTTGGTAAGTTAGGGGCTTTAACAGTGACAACCAGCAGTGATGTTCAGCTAGCTTCCAGCTAACAAAACTTTCCTGGATTAAATCGCTGTTATTGTTGACATGAATGGGGACAGTATTTAATGTTCATAATATTAAACACTAGAACATTTACAGCCTTGGATAGTTTGTAATTCTTGTCCCCAGATGCTCTGCAGGGGCCCAGATCAGATTCTGCTTCAGGCCCCATAGGATCTGGGACCGGCCCTGTACGCAATGTTTCCGCGGTTTAGAGGGTGTTTAATGCTCTAACGGCCTTCCATACAGCAGATACTGGTTTCTACATGGAGACCATCTTCTCTTTCAGATGTTTCCTCCATCAGATCTTTAATTATTGATCAGCTCGTCTGATTAATAAACTGGTTTAAGTTCCGTCCTCTGCAGCTGAGGACCATAAAGCGTCTTTATAGTAATAATTTATGTGAGTGTTTGTTATTTTCGGGCTGCTTTCGGGGCTTGTTTTGCTCAGACTAGGGGTGCAGGCTTTTCCCTCCCCCTTCCAGAGGACAAAGACTAAAATGGGTCAGACTGAGGAGAGCAGCAGCGGATCCTGCGCACCAGCATCCGGAGGCAGAGAGCAGCTCCTGGCCGCCTTCCAGGCTCTCTGAGCGGGCACCTGCTGCTGCTTTCCTCCGCTGGTTCCTCCCGCTGAGCCCTTTATCCCCGCTCAGCTCACCGGCGTTTTCCTCATTCCTGCTCCGCTTTTCTTTGGTTCCCGACATGTCGTCCTGGGATGGCTGACGCCGCTAACTGGGAATGAACTGGTGCTGGTTCTGGTGAACTGGACCCGCTGGATTCCTCCAGCCTGCAGTGAAACACCGACTCATCCGCCCCCACACTGACCGCCGGAGGACGATGGAGGCCGGGCTGAGCTGAACGGAGTCCCCGCTGACCGCTCAGGTACACCGCCGCTTTGTGTTGCTTATCGGCAGCAGTGTAACCAGTATAACCAGTATAACCAGTACGTACCAGTTAACGCGCCGTGATCGGTTTTTTTTTTTTTTTTAAAAAGGTTGTTGTATATTTCCACAATCCGGAAACATCCAGTTTTTCTGAGCATAAACAGCAGAAATCCAGAACCCATTCACTCACACTGAACTGGTTTCACACCGGTTACCAGTAAAACCAGTTCAGCCACCGTGTGACCCATAAGGTCTGAGTCTGGAACTACTAGAGATCCTGGGTTTTTATTTCCAAAGTCCAGATTGACTCGGTTCAGTTCATAGCCACTATGGGACCCATATGAGCTAAAGAATGGGCCCCACCATACCCACAGCCTCCTTATTGGGCCCATTACTATGTAAGTTTGAAAAGCCATCAGTAAAGGGGTCAAGCCTCGTAAAAACACACAGAACCAGTTTGGGACCCATATTTAAGTTCTATGTGGGTACCATACGGTGGCCTAGAAATCAATCGGACCACTTAGGAAACAATAACGCTGGTTTGGGTCCAATCAGGTTTTTTTCTGTTTCATGTTTCCAGCTGTTATATTTATATTTTCTTAGAACCAAGCTGATTCCTCCTGAAATGGGCCCCATGTGAGACCGGCCGGCTTCCATATTGACCCCATAGAGCATTTGATGAAACCCACCAAGGGGCAGTAAGCGGGCCTCCTCTGGAAAAGACTAACCTAACATATTTGGGTCCCATCTTAACTTTGTGTGGTACAATATAAAAATGGGCCCCATGAGGGAATTCCATGTGGACCATAAAGGGGCCTGCAGGTCAACACACATCTGAGCTGAGTATTACTACGGGTATTGTTAATATGTTAATTATTCATTTATAAATGTTGCCGTTTCAAACCGAATATTTAATTAACTAGCTTAGTTTAATATCAAGTTATCGAGCTAAATATTTAGTTTGGCGCCAAATAGCTAAAATGCTAATTCACTTATTGATCCGTTGGTTAACGTCTGTATTACCTTAAAACGGCTCATCCTTTGTTTTAAGCGTTAATGTTCATTAAGCGATTTAAATCCAGACGTTTTGGAAGACCCAGCTTTTATTTTGGTAGTCTATTTCTGGTTGTCGGCAAGTGATTTTTTTATTATTATAATTTATTTATTTATTTTTTTAGCAGATTAGCTAAAGATTTAACTCCAAGCTAAATATAACTAAATATTGAGCTTCAAACTAAATAGTTAACCAGTTGGTTAACTATTTTATGTAGTTTCAAACTCTAACATAACATTTATAAATTAATAGTAAAATCGTGAAAGTGTGATTATGACGGGCTAAAGGCTAACCCAAACGTGGAGCCAACATGCCTAGGTGGGCCCCATGTGGGGGAAAGGAGGGCAGGCCATATGGGCCCCACATGGGTTTGCCCATGTAGGGCCACAGCCCACATGGGCCCTACATGGACAAATACATTGGTGCCATCGTGGAACCCGCGGACAAACCCATATGGGACCCATATGGCCTGCCCTCCTTTTCCCCACATGGGGCCCACCTAGGCATGCTGGCAGGGAGGCCTCACGGAACTGGATCAGAACCAGAACACCGGGTATCGGTTCTGTTCGCAGTGTTCAAACATCATTCTGAGGAAAATTTACAGAGTTTCAGAAGCGACCAGAACCAGAACCTCTACTGCTGATGGTTCTGGGTATCAGTTAGTTTGTGTAGAGCCTTTGAGAATACAGAACCAGAACCGTCTGATGAAGTCAGAGCTGATAAAGCCCAGAGTGTGATCGGATCAGAACCGGTTAATCTTAGAAACCAACAGGTTCTGGATGGGCTGGTTCTGCTGATGTCAACTGGACTATGGAGGTCCAGATGTTATCAGCTGCTGAGAAGTTCTGAAAGAGGAACTGTGTTGCTAACGGGTCAAAGTTCTGCTGACCGGACTTTGGACCCACACAACTCCTGAGGTTCTAAAGAGGCGGTGAGTTCTGGTTCTGGTTCTGCTGGGTTTTTCTGTCTGTTTCTGTCCAGTCCTGTTAGGTTCTGTTTTGGTCTCTGTGTTCTGGCTGATCCAGAACACGACTCGTCTTTTTGCAGCAGAATTCTGCCTTGGCCCGGTTCTGATCCGTTCTTCCTGTCAGGTGTGTTTCTGTGGTTCTCAGCCTCGTTTGTTTCCTGACCTCGATGAAGGAATCTAAAAATGGATCCTCCTCCTTCAGGAGCAGATCCATTTTTAGATTTCTATTTTCCTCCTTTGTCCGGGTCCAATTTAGCTCTTTGTGGCGCCGAGCAGAGGAGGGGACAGATCTGGGACGCCGAGGAAGGAGCTGCAGCTGCTGGGGGATGTTTTCTGTCGGTTCCAGAACCTCCAGAGGAACTCACTGCGTTCTGTTCTTCCTCTCCAGAACCTCCACTGGATCCGTTTTGAGACCTTTGTGATCCCAGCCGACACGCCACAGCCATGACTCCCCCGTCCGACCTCCGACCTTTGCCGGGGCTGCTCTTTGTGATGCTGCTGATGTCACTTCCTGCTGCAGCTCTGGAACCAGAGACGTGTTTCTCCCGGCAGCATCAGGGCGCCGCCATCAACGTCAGGGTGGCGCTGAGCCGGGACGCGGCGGCCATGATGGCCCGGATAGTCCGGTCAGAGCGAGACTGCGTCCTGGCCTGCTGCTCTGAAGAGGTCCGAACAGGTGAGACCCGATCAGAACCGCTGGTTATTAGCTCTGCTTCGTCAGTGTTTTCATGCTGGAAGTGGACCAAAGCCGAGCCATTCGGTCCAGTCCGCTGATCCGGACTGGTTCTGGTCAGAAATCTGTCCCATTTAAAGGGGCGGTAATCTCTGTTTTCAGCCATTTTATGGTTTAATCAGTAACTGGTTACCTTCAGCTGTTAGAAAATTCTGTATATACATGAAATATGAGTTCAAAGAAATTTTATTTCCTGATTTAACCTCTTGAAATTGGGCCTCTGTGTCTTTAAGAAGCTCCTGCTCTTAATGAAGCTCCGCCTCCAGGAAGACATTCCAAAATGGCTCCTCTATTAACCCTTTATCATTTTTACCTGTGTTGCTCTGAGCAGCAACTCCTATAATGAGCTCAGCAGATGTTTGCTAATTGCTGCTGGCTAGTCTGAAGGAGCAGAGTGGGGGAGGAGCTAAGCCTTGAAGGCAGGGCTAGGTCCAATCAAACGTTTCGGGCAGCTGAATGGTTCCCATGGAGACTAAAGGATTTGCATTAAAGAATCAAAGCAACACTGCATGTTTGTTTCTGATGAAGGAAAAACATTGAAAACATGAAAAGTTGATTTTACATGACACTGTCCCTTTAAGGCACCTGTTCAGAGCAGAGATGGTGACTAGAGCTTCTGACTTGGACTGTAAGGTTTTATCAGAACCAGGGCTGCTGCTAAAGATTGTTTTAGTAATCAATTATTCTGATAATTAAAAGGATTTTTAAAAATTGTCAATCTGCAGATTTTTCATTTAACCATTTGACCATAAACTGAATCTAAACAGAATTTAACTCGGATCGTTCTCACTGCGAAGCTAGCTGCATGAAAAGTTCAACAACCAGAACCAGAAAGTGTTCTGGTACCATGGCCCGGCTGAGCCTGGTGGACCAGCAGCGTATCAGGTTGACTGTGTTTACTATAAGCTAAAGCAGGAGTCCTCAAACGTTTTCCTGTGAGGGCCCCATAACTTTTCCCTTCTCTGCTGGGGGTCGAGTCAGTTTGTAACAGAAAAAGTGACGATTGCAGGAGCCTAAATGTAAAAATGTATTGTTTTCCAGAAAGCACAATCAAATAACCCTCTCTGGGTTCTTCACAGAAACAATCCAGGAAGGATTATAGTCCGTATTTTCCGAACTATAAGCCACAACCCAAAGTTTGTTGTAAAGACCAGTAAACACACATATAAGCCGCAGATTTCTCTGCTGCTCCAGGTTTTCCACAGCGATGCAGCAACAGCAGAGGACAGCCAACATCTGAGTCATAACAGGTCGATTGAATATCACATTTATTATGGTTGAAAAATAAAAGTTGCCAAGTTTAGATTTAACTGAACTGATTACGGTAGTTTCTGAACAGAAACTGTAACAGTAAAGTGCTGATCCTTCATGTTGCTACTAGCATGAGCTAAATGAAAATGGGCACCTTCTTCTTCTTCTTCAGATTTCAACAGCAGCTTGCATCCATTATTGTTGCACTACTGCCATATACTGGATCCTAATATCTATACCTCAAATTCTCATAATGATCCCAGTATTATTTAAAAAAAAAAAAATTTCCCCTCAATGCTGTTTAACTGATCAACAACATTCTCAAATTTCAACTCCCTATTAAAACCTAATTCCGTTTTAATGAGCACTTTCTTCTTTTATTTCCAATTTTGACTTCCAATGATTCACTTCCTGCTAAAGAGCCCCCTGGTGGTTGAAGAAAAATCCACATATAAGCGGCTTATAGTCCGGAAAATACGGTATATGAAAAAAATCTAAATGCTCTCTGGTATTGTTCAGGGGGCCGGACCAAATGTGGAGGTGGGCCGGATCTGGCCCGCGGGCCATAGTTTGGGGACCACTGAGCTAGCTAGCTAGCTCCAGTAAGTGTTCAATGTGTAACACTTACTGCCATCTAGTGGTCAGTAAACTGAAGTGCCACCTGTGCTCTGTGTTCTGAAGGCGCTCGGTGCAACATGGCCGTGTTCAAAGCCAACAAACAAGCCGGCGAACACAACTGCCTGCTGTTCCACTGTCCCACCGAGTTGGACTGTCCTCTGATGAAAGCCGCCGAGGGCAGCAACACCTACGACATCTACAAAGGTCTGCTGCTTTTCTGTTTCACCCGTATGGAAGCCCATCTGTGCCATGAAAGAAAACATAAAAGCCCAACAGAAAGTCAGATTCACCAACTTTAAAGCCTTCATTATGAGAATAAAAATAATAATTTTCAGAATAATTCTCATAATTTTGACTTTCAGAGTCATAATTTTGAGAAAGTCATGCTGATTTTCTGAGGCTTGCTCCTGAAACTATGACTTTAAATTTCAAAATTTACTTTAAAGTGTGAAATTATGACTTTATATGTAAAAATTTGGTTGTATTTTTAATTATAAACTCAAAATGATGACTTTTAAATTCAAATTTTTGAATTTAATTCTCAGAATTGTACTTCTTTTTTTATTATTATAACTGTCCCAAAATTTTAACTTTAAAACTCAGAATTATGACTTTAACATTCAAAATTATAACTTATTTTCAAGATTGTTGTTGGTCTTTTTTTTTTTCAAAATTGAAGACTTTTTACCTCAAAATTGTGATTTTAAAACTCAAAATTGACTTCACTTTTTAAATTATGACTCTTTATGTCAGAATTATGGCTTGCTTTTGGACTTTTTTTCTTCTTTCATGGCAGTTATGGACTTCCATAGACAGGTCAGCAAAGATAATTCTACATCTCTGCTACCCTCTTGTGGCCAAAATGTCATAACACTTAAACTTTCCTCTGTCCTGCTCAGGTTTAAGTCATCCACCCACACTGAGACCTGTTCCCATGACAACCACTCTCCAGACTACCAGCACCTCCACCTCTACCACATCAGCACCAACTACACCAACCACCACCCAGCCCACCAGCACAACCAGCACACCAACCACCGTCCAGGCACTGCACTCCACCCCACAACCTTCCCCACCTATCATCATCATTGCCACAGAGCCTGCAGGTAGTCCACCCACCAACACCACTACAACCACCACCACCACCATAGGACCCTCTTCCACCTTCACCACTAGAAAACCCAACAAAACCAGCAAGAAGCAAAACAAAACCACCAAGAAAGCAAAATCTCATCCAGCCCTCACCACCACTACCACCACTACCCAAACAGCTCCCAGCTCCATGACATCACTTCCTGCTGAAACAGGAAGGAAGGAGGTGGAAGATAAACATACCAGTGTTCCAGAAACTACAACTTCAGCTACAACCACCACTGTGGCTCCGGCCACCAGTACAACCACTACAACTCCAACGACTACAGTCACCTTCCCCATCACCACCACCACCCTTCCTCCCACCACCATCTCCACCACCGAGCCAACCACCACAGTGACAGCTCAACCGCCAAGTCTGATCTTCATTCCCAAAGACCCGGTCCAGTCAGAGCCCGACCTCCAACCAGGCCACCCCACCCTGAACTCCAGCTCCAGCCGGGGGAAAGCGGTGGCAGCCCAGGGGGCGCTGAAGGGCAGCGTGGTGGCCTTCATGGTGCTGGCGCTGGCCGTGCTGACGCTGGCGCTGGCGGTGGGCGGCCGGAAGGCCATGGAGTCCTTCGACCGGCGCCATTACACCAGACTGGAGCTCAACGACCTGCACTATGAGATTTAACAAGAGAATCCAACATTTCTGCTTTATTTAAGGTTATTTAAGTATTAACTACACAACTCTGAACGTCTGCTCACGCTTTGTTTACGAAGTCAGAGAATCCTGCTCTCTGATTGGTCAGACTCGGCTGTTGAAGCTCATGACTCTCCATTGGCCACAGAGATAGTCCCCCGCCCCTTGGCATGGACGGAGAAACTCTGTTCTGTCATTTTTAAGGATTTTACAGATGAAATTTACAGATAAGTTAAATCAAATCTGGTTTAATTTGGTTTTTAAACTGGATCATTGATCTGATCTCCGATCAGTTCATTGATCTGGGCTGTGCAGTTCTAATAACCACCACTAGATGTCATCCTTTCTTCTGTTAATTCAGTTACTATCACTTAGGATTATTAGTGTTAACCTGGAAATATTTACATTTCTGAATAATGTACCTTAAATTATTAATATGTTTAAAAATTTATATTAAAATATTTGTTCATTTCTGGTAAGGAACCAAAACTGTGAAAAGTTTTCCAAACATCAAGGCGGTGAAGATCTCTCTACCTTCATTTCAGTCATTTAAAGAAATCTTAAGCTAACCAAGATTAATTAATTTATTGCTGATAAATATACTGCTAAAACCAGTTCCGCCTCCAGAGGGAATGCTCTGGTGTGAACGGTCAGCTTTATGAAGCTGCCACATGCACAGTGGCCACCAGAGGGCATCATCGTGACAAAAAATGGTGAGACGTTAAAAGACCATAAAACCTCCCGTCTCCTGTCAAAATGGGACTGATGTAACAACTCTAAGCTATTTAATATTTTTGATCAACTCCAGATATGAACCTTGACTTCCTTCATGTGTGTTTGAAACTCTTATTTTGAAGTAAGAAGGGAAATAGTTCCTTAGTTGGCCTGTTGATTGATGGACACGACTCGGTGAAGAAACCTCCAACACTAAACCACCTGGAGGATTAGCAATCATTTTTAAAAGAATACTGATTAACAAGTTATCTGCTAACAGATTTAAATTAACTGCTACCAAAGTTACAGTCGCCTGCTAACAGCGTTGCAGTTAGCTTCCATTAGTGATAATGTTAGCTGCTAACACCTCAACGAAGTCCTGAAACTGTAACTAGAATCTTGAATTTTCCAGTTAATTTGTTGTTTTTTATTCTTACTTTAATAAAACTGTTGTGAGTTTGGTGATTGTAATGCAGCAAGTTGGTAATCTGGGATCACTAGTTATGCACTTTGACCATCCAAGCTAGTCACAAAACAAACGGGGCGTTCAGTGATGTTCGGTCTGTTAAAAGACCATAAACCGGGTCAGGGAGGTTTCCTCTGGATCTGCTGACCTTCCCTCTCTGTCCTGAATGTCCGACGCTCCAGCACTCTGCATGCTTATGCCCTCTGGTGGCCATTCTAGCCATAGCATGAAAAACCATGAGACGGGAGGAGATGATTAACTGCATATTGGAGCTGGAAATCATCTAAAACTGGTAGGAGATCAGTGAACCCAGCTGGGAACTGAACCCACAACCCAGATGTTGCTGTGAGGCAGCAGAGCAGCTGGAAGCTCCAGGTTCTTCCAAACCCTCCTCCTGATTCCTCTGGGTTCCTCCAGGTTCCTCCAGGTTCCCTAAAGACCCGACAGCAATACCGCCCTCCCCCCAGCGCCTCTCAGGAAGCCTCTGAAGCGGAGACTCCAGATGCAGATCAGAACTCGCTGTGCACGCTCCTGCATGTCCTCTGGGCCTGTGGTGACCTTTGAACCCGCAGGTTCACTGTAGATGTCACATTCACTGTGTGTTTTTGTATTTCCACCAGAATTCCCGCCGTGGATCCAATCCTTTATAAACTGATGCACTACTGTGTTGTGTGTTTTTGATAATCAGCTGCTGTACATATTCCTGGTTGGTTTTCATAGCTCAGAGGAAAATGGCCGCCACTATTTTCTTATAATAAACACATTTTACTGGGTGTGTGTTTTAGACAGGCTGCTGCTGCGGCACCTCTCCAGCAGGGGGCGGCAGCGGGCTGGTCACGTTTCCGTTTTACTCTAATTACTGACATGGATGGTGATGTTTGGTGCCGTTTTGTCAAGTGATGCTTTCACATAACTTTAAATTTAATGTTTTGTTGTAAAGATTAAAAAAAATGTGATTTTTGAATTTTTATCTCGTGTTTTCTCTACGAACTAAATCATCGGAGGGTCCAAATGTTCGACGACGTTCAGGATCATTAGGTAGAAGAAAAAGAAAAGAGTATATTTCTATGGAGCTAAAAATGGACCATAAGGTTCAAAAGAAAATTTTTAGATTAATCTCAGAAATTTTCTCGAAAATAATTTAAAATGTTTTTTTTTTTTCCAGAATTATTATTATTTTAGCTTAATCTCTGAGATTTTTTTTTAATTTTTTTATGTGAAATGTACTTTTGTTTCTATTTACAATGGCCCTAATGTAATTGGAAATACACAGAAAGGTAAGATAACAATAAAGCGGAGCTAAATAACTGAGACGGACGGGTTCTGGATGGGTTCTGGAGGTGAGAGTCCAGTTCCAACATGGCCGCTCAGTGAAGTCAGAGCAGAAAAACATCTGGATTGGTTTGTAAATCCTTGACAGACGGAGAGCTGGAGCTTCGCTACATCTGGAGGAAAAGGGAGGAAATTGAAGCGGAGGCGCGGCCCTGCAGTGAAGCATGGAGGTGGCAGCATCATGCTGTGGGTCGATTTACAGAACAGACAAAAACATCTCTGAACCAACACCTGGAGACCTGTCTCTCCCTCCTTCAGGTTCGTGGTTAGGCCCCCCGCTCTTCCCCCTCCCCCACCTGTTGTGGCCCCCAGCTCTCGGCTCCAGGTGTTTTCAAAAGCGCCTCGGCCCCCAGCGGCTTCTCCTGCTCTTTTTCAGAGCCAGTTGGGGAGATAAAGTAGTCCCTTCTGGTGGTTCGGACCGGATGCGCAGGTCTCTGCGGTTGCGGGCGGTTTGCGGTGTTTTTGTTGCGGCAGTGCGCAGTCCGTGTGCGGCAGAACAACAATAGAAAGCGGAGGAGGAGGAGCACCAGCGGCACCAGCGGCTTCTGGCAGCGGAGCGACACCGACGATCCTGCGGGACGATATGAGACTTTGGATCGGACTCTTAAGCGAACAGAAGCGTGTGATGGAAGCTGGAAGGATCCGAGTCTGATCGGAACCGAACCGAACCGGAGCGGAGCGTGTTTTTGTTGAGAGGAAGCGGCCGCAGCCATGATGGGAATGCTGGGAATCCTGCGCTGAGGATCCACGGCGGCTGGGCCCAGGATCGGGAGAAAGATGGGAATGTGTGTTCGGATCCTGCTGCTGTTGGGTTCCTGCTGGCTTGTCTCAGGTGAGGTTCTGGTTCTGGAGGTTCTGGCTGTTTGGACCGAGGGTGGCGGGGTTCCTGCTGGATTCGGGTTTTGTGTTTAGAATTCCAGGGCCTGCTAACATTAGCTTCTAGCTAACATCCAGTTTGTTCTGGAAAAGGCTTTTTCCTGGGTATTCTGCTCATAAGTCCAGTTGTAGGTTCCGGTTCTGGGCGGGATGTGGGGTCTGGTTTGGGTTCTGGTTGGATTCGGGAGTTTGGGTTGATTATTTGGAGCAGAGAGGGAATGTGGGAAACAACAACAGGAGCTATTGAAGCTAGTTAGCATCAAAGCTAACAGGTTAGAGCTGCTAACCAACTAAGTAACTAGCTAGCTGCCTTTCAGCTGGTTAACCAGGGTAGGTTCTGGTTCTGATCCAAATATTATTACAGAGAAAAATCAGTTTTCCTGCAGAGCAACGAAACATTCCTGCAGAAACACTCAGACTGGATGCTTCCCTGGAAAACCCTCCAGGTATGGAGATTCATCCATAACCTGCAGATTGATGGGAAACCTGGAGGAAAACAGGAAAACCTGGAGGAAAACAGGAAAACCTGGAGGAAAACAGGAAAGTCTCAGCTGGGAATCATCAGCTCCATTAGCTTTAATGCACAGCAGAATCACAGAATAACAGGAAGTCCAGGAAAAATTCCCTGGAAAACCTCAGAAACAGAAATGCTTGAGTCTGGATTTAAAGGAGCAGACAGCTTTCCAGGTAGCTGAGGAGTTCTGGTTCTGGTTCACTGCAGCCTCTCAGCATGACAGAACCTCCACTGTGCTTCAGTGATGCTAGAAGGAAACCTGTTGCCTCCAGGTTCTGCCATGTTGGGAATTTTGGGCTTTTTCCACATTTTCCTCATTAAATCACCAGAACCGGTGGTTGTTATGTATCTCCCAAGGTTGTGAGCTGCTCTTTTTAGACTCCAACACTAAGCTGAAATATTATCTTATTTTATTGAATAACTTTATTGGTGCTGAAATCTCCTCCTGGTACCAAAGATCCAGTTTTCCTTCTGAGCAGGAACTGGAGCGGCAGCGTTAAGCTGCCTGATAACAGATAAACTATTCCCACTTTGTTTTATTTATTGTTTTTGGTTGCTTTTTTTATTTTTTTGGGAAATAAAGGTTGACATCTATCATACTGTTTTTCTTTTATTGTGATAAATTTCCTACTATAATAAGAATTTGAACCTTTTATTGTCTCAGTAAATTCAGGTGAAAGATAAAAAACAGAACCGTCTGTATTGTCAGGATTATTTTACTACTTTTTATGATGTGTGTTTAAATAGATTATTGATCAGTTAGAAAATAGTCTTGACTAAATGCAGTTATTGTGAGCAGTTTAAATTAAACCGGAGTCCAAAGGAAACAGAAATATGTTTGTGTTTTCAGTTATAAATTGTTCTTATTGCCACTTTTATCATTATAGCAGTAAAACACATTATATTAATACTTTTTTAAACAAAATTAAACCTTAGGAGAACTTGATTTATTATACTTTTATCAATACATTTCTTTAAAATTAGGAATGCACTGATATTAATATTAGTACTGCTGTTTTCCCGATAACCAGTATTTTCCGATATTATGCATATTTCACTTCCGCTTCAACACTTTTGGGGAAAAAATGACCAGAAGCAAAAAGCAAGAGAAAAATAAATATCTGTTGTTCATATCGGCTCAGTTTGATTTATCGGACCGATACCGATGACGGCACCGATATCTCACGCATCTCAACTTAAAATGGGCTCCAAACGCTGTTTTGATTTATCTCAGTAATTATTCATTCTTCATTAGTTCTGAAACCGGGTTCGGGTTCTGGTTTGGTTCCGTTTCCACTTCCTGTCTTTCTGCTAACACTTCCTGTGTGTCACCAGGCGAGCCGCTGCTGCTGTACGCCAACCGGCGGGACCTGCGCCTGGTGGACGCGGCTCGCGACAAGGCCAATGCCACGGTGGTGGTGGGCGGCCTGGAGGACGCCGCCGCCGTGGATTACGTCTACGCCCAGGGCCTCATCTACTGGAGCGACGTCAGCGAGGAGGCCATCAAACGGACCTCCTTCAACCGGACCGGCGCCGGCGCCCCCCAGACCGTGGTGCCGGGCCTGGTCGCGCCGGACGGCCTGGCCTGCGACTGGCTGGGCCTCAAGCTGTACTGGACCGACTCGGACACCAACCGGATCGAGGTGGCCGAGCTGGACGGGTCGCTGAGGAAGGTTCTGTTCTGGCAGGAGCTGGACCAGCCCAGAGCCATCGCCCTGGACCCGGAGCGAGGGTGAGTCCAGACGGTTCTGCTGCTGCTAAACGGCCTGAAAGTATCCGGAGTAGAGTCGGATCAGAACCACGTTTCTGTTCATTAGATGTGAAGGAAACGGACCCGGTGGTTCTGGTTCTGGGTTGTCCCCATGGTCTCAGCTGTGTGTCGTCCTCAGGTTCATGTACTGGACAGACTGGGGCGATGTCCCAAAGATCGAGCGGGCCGGGATGGACGGGACCAACCGGTCCCTGCTGGTGGACCAGGACATCCACTGGCCCAACGGGCTGACGGTCGACTACGGCCAGCAGAAGCTGTACTGGGCCGACGCCAAGCACAACTTCATCCACCGCTGCAACCTGGACGGCTCCTCCAGGTACCAGCTGCCAGGTCTGAGGCGGTTCTGCCGGGCCCGGACCCAGTCTGATGTGTGTGCTGTGTTGCAGAGAGGTGGTGGTTAAAGGGGAGCTGCCTCACCCCTTCGCCCTCACCCTGTATGAGGACACTCTGTTCTGGACCGACTGGAACACGCACTCCATCCACTCCTGCAGGAAGCAGACGGGCCGGGAGCAGCGCGTCGTCCACTCCCACATCTTCTCCCCGATGGACCTGCACGTCTTCAGCCCCAAGAGGCAGCCCGTCTGTGAGTCTCAGCCGCCGGCAGGGTCTCGTATCGACTGTCTCTGTTGCATATCTGGACCCGTCCAGACCTGCTACACTCTCCTCCCGGCCGGTTCTGACCCATTTCCATGTCACTGTGTTGCAGCGCGGAGCAGCCCCTGCTCCCATGGCAACGCGGGATGCTCCCACCTCTGCCTGCTGTCCCCAACCCGGCCCTTCTACCGCTGTGCCTGTCCCACCGGAGTCCAGCTGCTGGAGGACGGACAGACCTGCAGAGACGGTGAGGACGGCCACCATCATCATCACCACCATCATCATCATCAATCAAATTTTATTTGTATAGCAAATTTCAGCAGCAAGGCATTTCAAGGTGCTTTACATAATTAATGAAAAAATAAGAACAGCATGACATTGAATAAACGGTAAGAAAGAGAAAGAGATTTTGAAAAAAAAAGAAAAAGATTAACAAAGATTTAAAAAAAAAAAAAAGATAAAAACATACTTTTGTTACGATATTTAAGCGCCTGGCGTCGCCTGGCGTCGCCGGACTCCGCCGTCCGTTTAACACGGGTATTATCCAGGTATTATCCAGGCCCCGTCGCCTGACTGGACGAAATTTATAGATTTTTAGTCAAAACGCCATTTGACAAGGATTCTTAAACCTCAGAGTTTTAGTTAAAACGCCATTTAAAAGAAATTAATAAATAGATAAAAAGTAAAGATAAAAACATTAAAAACATCAAAGACATCAAACCCCACTCTAACCCTAATTTAGCCATAAGCAACTCTAAACAGGTGGGTTTTAAGTTGAGATTTAAAGGCACTCAGTGTTTCAGCTGTTTTACAGTTTTCTGGAAGTTTTTTCCAAATGTGTGGTGCATAGAAACTGAATGCTGCTTCTCCTCGTTTGGTTCTGGTTCTGGATGCAGAGCAGAACCAGAAGATCTGAGGGGTCTAGACGGTTGGTACAGCAATAACAGATCTTTAATGTATTGTGGTGCTAAACCGTTCAGTGATTTATAAACTAACAGTATTTTAAAGTCTATCCTCAGCTACAGGGAGCCAGTGAAGGGACTTTAAAACTGGTGTTATGTCTCCATCTTCCTGGTTTTAGTGAGAACAGCAGCAGCAGCATCTGGATCAGCTGCAGCTGTTTGATTTATTAGTCAGACCGGTTTCCATGGTTTCAGCTCATTGTTGTTGTTGCTACGTCTGTTTGGTTTCCATAGTTTCAGCTCGTTGCTGCATCACTTTGGTTTCCATGGTTTCAGCTCATTGTTGCTGTTGCTACGTCTCTTTGGTTTCCATGGTGTCAGCTTGTTGTTGTTGCTATGTCTGTTTGGTTTCCATGGTTTCAGCTCATTGTTGTTGTTGCTACGTCTCTTTGGTTTCCATGGTGTCAGCTTGTTGTTGTTGCTATGTCTGTTTGGTTTCCATGGTTTCAGCTCATTGTTGTTGTTGCTACGTCTCTTTGGTTTCCATGGTTTCAGCTCATT